GCTTTAAAGAAAAAATTTGAGTTTCCTTCAATTTCCGAACAAACACATAATTAGGAGTGATTAAAAATTGAACCAGCACGGAAAATTAAATACAGTGGAGTATCGTCGTACCAACGAAGCGTTTGGAACCTCAAAAAAGTTTCCTTTGAACAAAAATTGGTTAAAACGAAATAAAAATAAAATTGTGGCTATTGAGCACAAAAAAAACCCACAAAAAAAAGAAATTCGTAATACGCAATAATTTGTTTTAACGTGATTCTACTGTACAAGCCTAACAAAAAATTTAAAAAAAAACCACAATGTCTATCAAAAAGAGCAGCTGCGTAATGAGATCCATACGAACCCCGGATTGCAAGTCCAAAGCAGCCTGGACTTTCGGTGGGGTGTAGATCCCATTGGCAGTGGTTCTGGCAGAAGTAAGCGCGGCCCGGGCCTTGGGCAGGTTCCCCAGGCTGTGGTAGATCTTGCTCTCACACAGCAGAACATCCACAACCAGGTGCTTGTCGTCCAGCTTCTTGAGCTCCTTCAGGAGAGGAGTGCCCAGCTCCAGGGCATCAGAGTACATCCCGTTTTGCTCGTACAACTGCATGAGTCTCACTGCCAGGCTCTGGCGCAGGAATGTCCTGTTTTCTTCCTTGGCCCATTCGAAACATTCCTGGAAAAATAAAAAGGTAAAAAAAAAGATTATTTAAATAATTTTCGGTACTGTACCGTGAAATTCAGGTTCTAACGAATTAGAATTTTCAAACAACACTGGCATCAATAGCAAAATGCGAATTCAAATTCTTTAGATACAGTACTTTCAATTGCTTACATGAAACCAATCGACATTTTCGGGCAACGTTTAATCCGAAAACCATGTTCAAAGAAATTATGCGCCATGTCTTTTTTTTTTCGTAAGTGACGAAGAAAATTTTAGAACTATTTTAAATATCGTACTTGGTAGCATTCCAACTGCCGGCAAGTTAGAAAATAACCTACCTTCCTAAAATTAATTGGGTTAAATTTCTCATAAAATCATCTCAATGTGGCTGAGCGAAAATCATCTAGGATAACTCTGCAAAAAGGATATACTGTACTGTAGTAGAATTCCGATACAGCGAATTATCGCTTACAACGAATTCGTTTTTCCGTTCCATGCCCCATGGCATGAATTTTATTTCAGTTTATTCCCGAATAATTGTTCCACAGTAATTTTAATAGTCCCAATAGATTCTATTGTACACCGAAGAAAGAAAAACAGAAGACAAACCAAATTTAAAAATAAACACCATCTCTCTCTGTCTCTTAGAATACTTTCTTTTTCGCAAACAAAACTCACTTGACAGAGCTCCACTTCGAATCCAGTGCCAGCGTCCATGTCTAGAAACATCTCGACCAGGGCTCTCACCAACTTGGCAGCCTTGGCCTTGCTGATGAGGTTCAAAAAGGGTCTGGTGGTCTTGATCAATTCTCCCAACTCTGTCGCCTTTCCCATGTGCTTCAGCTGCTGTCCAAGCTCCAGGATTATTTGCTCCTTTGTCCTGATCTCTTCTTCGGTTTTCACATCATCATCTAAGATACCGGGATTCAGAAATACATATTTTTTTCTTCTCGAGTATCATCCTTTTCCGCATCAAATAAATCGAAAAATTTTCAAATTTCATACAGATCCGTTTCACTTGTCCTACATTCCAGAAAATACTGGATTATACACCGTACTAATATTATATAAATCATATTAAATAGATAATATATTCAAAGCGAGTTGTCGAAACAACTTCAACAGCAGTTTCCAAAGAAAAACAGAATGCCCGAGAAATAATACCGATCAGACTGGAGTAAAATTCCACACGCATAAAAACCGGATATGCAATATAAATTCAAGATTTATCTTCAAATGTTGAAGACAACAAATTCCTGTCATTTAAAACTTACGATTAATATCTCNAAAAAAAAAAACCATCAGCGATATTTTTCGAAGAAAGTAAATCTCTTCTCGGTAAAAGTGACTCACGTAGCTTGGAGATGAGCAACTCTACTTCCTCTTTCGCCTCATTTGCTATCAGGCCACCGCCACTGCTTAAAACCATCGCGGTCGCCATCCTCACTTTTTTCAACAATTCCTGCAATCAAATTAATAAAAAATATACAAATACATATACAGCACAAGAAATGAATCAGAATATTCACAGTCAACAGTCCAAAAACAAGAATTCAAGGCAGTAGCAAATATATTCTTCCACAAGCCCAAACACTGAACAAAAAGCCGGCGGTTTTTATTCTTTCAAATCTATAACACGTTGTTCGGAAACAAACAAAAAAACATTGACTCTCGGGAAGCGGTTTCGGCAGACTAGAAAAAAACAACGCACCTTAAGCATCCACAGGAAGCGAAGATCTCAGCAAAATTCTTTCTTTTTCTCACCCCCCTCTCCCTGCATTTCTTACCTGTTCGGTACACTTTTTAAGCCAGCACAAAAAAAAAAATACAACACAGGATTGTCGGAATACCTCGTGGGGGGAAACACGCGGGAAGCCAAGAAGAGGCTCTCTGTTCCACTTATTTGTTCTTGTTTCCTTCGCAGATCACCCGATCATTTTCGGAAGCAGTTTCCTCGTCGCCAGATCGTCCAGCACCTGAAGGAGAGGATATTTTTTAGCATAATTTTCGTTTACGTGGAATCTCGAATCTTCAGGGAAGATAATAAATTTGGCGGAATCAATCGCACCAGAATTTCAAAATACTGTATGGGACTCATTCAGGGAAGTTATTTTCATAATTCTCAGACACTCCCCATTAAAAATTCTTTGATCAGAAGAACTTTTCTTGAACGTACTGGAAAGCTTTTGACAAATTTCTTTCAACAAGGCTGAACCCAAAAATACTTGCTGATAAATGCAGTACAGCATTTATCTGCGTTTCCAACCATCTGCCACCTCAACTGAAATTTTAAGAAATCAAGAACGAAGGCATTTTGAAATTCACCAGTTTAAAAAAAATGTGTTGCACTTGATTGATGAATTTTTCTTAAGGGTTTGGCTTACATATAGCAACTTGTCTAACATCACTCCCCCTCGATTGCTTTCTTTTTTTTTTCAATGTCCAGACCCATCAACGCACTACTCACCTTCGCAATTTCTTCAGTCAAAAATTTCGGATGGGCAAGTTCAAACCCAGATTCCTTGAGCTTCGTCGCATCCAGGGATAAAGGCTTGTTGAGCAGTGTTTCTGAAGTCACATACGGACTAATGGGAGTGTTCTCTACTCCCGACTTCTGACACATTTCTGCCCAAGGTATCATATGCTTTTCATTCACCTCTTCCACCACTCCGTCCAAGTCCAACTGCAAAAAAATAAATAAAAATTTAAGAATATCAGGACCAATTTACTCAGTGAGTTTTTTAAAAAGACATGTTTCACAGAATATTATGTTTGAGAAAATCATAACAACAAACTCACAACTAAGAAATTTTCCCATGTATTTTATATTTGATGCCAAAAGGCTGATGAATGACTCGGTAAATATTATAGTTATGCAGGTTGACTCAACATCAATATTTCAATTTATATTATAGTATACAAGGGTTGGTTCATAAATTTTGAAAATTCTTGAAATAGATCCAACAGAGTTTCAACAATTCCTTTTCTTTTACTTGTTGAACAGCTCCGACGTGTTGCCAAATGATGGGGCTTTGCGAGTAA